ACTAAATATATCGTTATTTTTGACTAAAGTGATAATTAAATTTGACATTATATAATGTTAAATTGATATTGTATAGTGTCAAATATAACCATTGTTTTAGCAAAAAAAAAACGATATTATTGAGTAGGAGCAGTGGCGACTAACTTTGAGTTAATTTGACACTATAATATTTAAGTGTAGTGCTCAGGTGGGTTCCTTTTCGTTATCTAAAAATTATAAATTTTGGACAAAATATATTTTAAAATTCTGCTCCTCATACATGTATTAAATATTATATTGACACACAAAAAGTAAATATTAGGTATTGAACTTAATTCCTGCCGTTTTTTGTCTGAAAAATTGATTTGTTTCGAAGGTAAATACCGTAATCAAAGCATTATTAATAAAGTATTATTAATTAGTAATAAAGTAGAAAATGGAGAAAATTACTTTAAGGTATTCATTCATCTTCTCCTCGAAACAAATCAATTTTGGAGACGAAAAACGGCAGGAATGAAGTTCAACACCTAATAATTAAATTCTTATTTAGTCTTACTTTTGATTATTTATTACCGCAATTATAGCGTTAATGTGCTTATACATAACACGTATGTTATAATTTTAATAAAAGATAGAACTAAGTCTTTTTTAATTCAGATGCATAAGCTCCAGATTTCATCGAGTCAATGAACGTTTACGTGCTTTATATTGTGATCTGTTCGAAAGTAGCGCAGATTACAGAAGACAAAACAGATCCATCTTTGTGCATCAGCGGATAACGGAAGCTAAAGATCACAATCAATGTATATGGATTATAATGTAATAATTGCTTAATAGAATTACTGTGTACACGCATGCATGCGAATGTATATACAGGGTGTGACGCCAAAATCCGGACAAATTTCAAGTTGAAATTCCCTCCATTCAATACCACTGGCAGATATCGCGATTGACATTGAAATAGCTTGACGCATGTACTAAACCATCAACCTCGAAACAGTCGCAATGTTGAAACCAAGTGCGGAGTATAACCGAAGAGCCGCGATTATCGAAAGTGTTCGCGCCGGGCGCTCGGCGACAGAAATCATTCGGTTCTTCGGGTATCCGAGATCGACTGTGTATGATGTCATCGCAAAGTACCATGAGTCGGAGAAGTCCAACGAAGGTTCTGCAACACCGGTGAGGAAAATCCACTCAAACGAGCGCGTTGTCAGGACGCCCGACATCATTCAACGGGCTCAGGAGCTGATTTTTGAGGATCCAAGGCAGTCGATCCGAAAATTGTCGTCGGTTGTTGGTGTGAGGGAGAAAACTATGCGTCGAATCGTCGAGGAGGACCTTCGCTACAAGTCTTACACAATTAAACTGAGACAGATGCTTTCCGAAGCCGCTAGGACAAAGCGAGTTGAACGCTGCAACCTGCTTTTGTGTTCCTTAAAACACAATGCTGCCGGGCACAAGTTTTTTTCTGACGAGAAAATTTTTACTGTGGATGCGAAAATCAATCGAAGGAATGACCGCTGGCTCGCCCACAACCCTGAAGATGTCCCCATTGTTGCAAGAACGAAATTTCCGGCGAATGCTCACGTGTTAGGTGTTGTGTTTTTAACAAAAAGGAAAATGTCACAAAAGAAGTTTATTTGCGTGTTCTGACAAATGTAGTGAAGGATGGAAACTATAAAAAAATGCGGTTGCATGACATCACCCTCACTGGACACAACACCTAGCACGTGAACATTCGCCGGAAATTTCGTTCTTGCACCAATGGGGACATCTTCAGGGTTGTGGGCGAGCCAGCGGTCATTCCTTCGATTGATTTTCGCATCCATAGTAAAAATTTTCTCGTCAGAAAAAAACTTGAGTCGTCCGGCAGCATTGTGTTTTAAGGAATACAAAAGCAGGTTGCAGCGTTCAACTCGCTTTGTCCTAGCGGCTTCGGAAAGCATCTGTCTCAGTTTAATTGTGTAAGACTTGTAGCGAAGGTCCTCCTCGACGATTCGACGTATAGTTTTCTCCCTCACACCAACAACCGACGACAATTTTCGGATCGACTGCCTTGGATCCTCAAAAATCAGCTCCTGAGCCCATTGAATGATGTCGGGCGTCATGACAACGCGCTCGTTCGAGTGGATTTTCCTCACCGGTGTTGCAGAACCTTCGTTGGGCTTCTCCGACTCATGGTACTTTGCGATGACATCATACACAGTCGATCTCGGATACCCGAAGAACCGAATGATTTCTGTCGCCGAGCGCCCGGCGCGAACACTTTCGATAATCGCGGCTCTTCGGTTATACTCCGCACTTGGTTTCAACATTGCGACTGTTTCGAGGTTGATGGTTTAGTACATGCGTCAAGCTATTTGAATGCCAATCGCGACCTCTACCAGTGGTATTGAAAGGAGGGAATTTTAACTTGAAATTTGTCCGGATTTTGGCGCCGCACCCTGTATGTCTCTTGGTTTAATTAATTATAAAAATTTTAATTTATTTACAGGCACGTCCATCTACAACTATGCCTTATATCACGCAAATTAAACAAAGTATTCAAAGTACAAATGTTAATACAGATGTCATGGTACTTTAGCAAAGCTTTAAATTTCTATCTATTAATGTATAATATATCTATTAATGTTGTTGGTGATCATCGGGTTTTATGGACATTTACTAGTGTCATCACTTGTTTAGAATGCTGTTCTGATTTCGTTTTAAATACTATTTTATTTCTCACATTACACTACATATGTCAAACTGTTTATAATAAGGTAAATATTATAACAGAACAAAAGCATTAATAACCATTTTTAACTAGAATAATAAGCACAAGCATCAATAAAATTACACATGTCAAAGTTTTATTTGAAATCTGATTCATTGAATGCAAAGCTTTCAGTTTTACTACTAACTTTGGTAATTATATATTAACGGACACTACGTGGATGATCTTGACCTTGACATATGTTGTCATCACGGCCCTGAGTAACCTCCGACAGGTTTTAGGTGGCGGTCGATCTTCATTAAAAAATTATTAACAAAGAAAATTCAACTATAACACGAAAATTCCCTGCTTTAAAATATGTTTGATAGTCGTGCACTGTAAGGGACGCTGCGCCGTGCCGACGACCGCGACTTTGACATATGTTGTCAAACAGACAATTATAGAAGTGCAGGAACTCTTTGCAGGGGGGAGAGGAGTGAAAGTCGAAGGTGTGAGTCGTGCGCCCTTTTGCAGGAGGAATGGCGGGTAAGAGTCGAAGGTGAAAGTCATGCGCCTTTTTGCAGGGGCGAAGGGGGGTGAGAGTCGGTGGTAAGAGTCGTACGCCCCTAAAGCAGGGATGGAGGGGGGTGAAAGTTGCTTCGTGTTGAAAGTCAAAACCTATGTAGAATAGTATTTAATATTGCAATATAGCAGAAATGATACGTTATTTTTCAAACTTCTTTTGTTAATAACTTTTTAACCAATAACGATCCAAAAAAATTTTTTCCTGCTTTACTCTGCAT